ATAAAAAACATATAACTTATAACTATAACTATATAACTATAACAGCAAAGAAAGCCAGCTGTTGTTTTTTTGTTTTAACAATAAATATAATTTTTTAAACTATTTTACTACTTATATATTATAAATAAGTACTGAAAGCATGTTTCTTATTGTATTATTACCATATTATTGTATTATTTGTGTTTTATGCATTACTTTTCAAATTTTGCCTCATCCTACATATTGTTTTGATAGAGTTTTTGTTTGTATTATTCAATCACAGTTCACGAGACACAACAAAAAGCATGCACACCTTCTGTGTACTTTTGCAGAAGTCAAGGACCTCTCACTTGCGAGTTAATGTTGCACTGAGCATTTAATTACCAAAGCAAAAATGGCAATCTTTAGAGAATAATTTACTTAAAAATAAAATAGAAATAAATGATTAGTAGGTTAAGAGTATAATAGGAGCATATAACTATATGTAATTAATTCATGAATTTACATAAAGTTATTGAATTATTTCCCCTAAAATTTCTGTGATCATTTTTTTTTTTTTTTAATTTTATTAAAAAAATTTTTTTTACTTATTGTAATTTGGCTGCATTGATGCCAAAGTAAAGAAGAAAATAAACGTTTCCTTTCAACATCAATATAATTACTATCACTTGCACATCATAGATTCATAGTTTTTCTTCTTTTCTTTTACAAAAATGCAAATTGAATAAGGCCTCTTCTGCACTGGGTTATGCAAAATAATAAAAAACAAATATCAAAATGTTTCATGAAAGCCTAATGATTACTTTTCATTTTCGAACGGATTACCTCCAAAACATTTTAAAAGGCTGGTCAAAGTTGGACCACAGATGGCAACAGATGAACATTATGAAGCCCAGCAATAACAACATCTTTCTATTCTGTGATGTGGGGATCTCCCTCTTCCCTTTCTGTTTAACTTCACACACAGGCGATGGCCAAAAAGTCTTCATGTGAGCCTAAGCTGTTGAGACACATGAGGAACAACTTACTGCATGGCAATTTCAAACTAAATTAAACCATGGTCTCCAAATGTCTCCATCTGACGCACACACACACACACACATGTATTTGTGACTTTCTCTGTTGATGAGTTCCTAAAGAATCTTAAGCCTTCGTCCAACGAGGGCCATTAAATTTCCCATGCAGAGGTGCAGAGTGTGTGCAGTACCAGAACAAAACAATGAGAACACTTTAAAAAAACACTTTAAAAGTTTGGCTTTAAAACATAAGCAACAGATGTTATATTGTCGTGGTGGAGCAGGATGCATGGTATTTGTTGTCACGTGGTTGTTTTCATCTTTATTACAGAAGCGTCTCAGCCCAAGCAAGAACTGCAGCTCCTTTCATCGTGTTATTCAGTGGAATTGTCTTCGTAAAAATGTTTGGGCATGATTTTAGAATGTGTGCCATTAACAGCAACCATAGCACTTCATGTGGAATATTAAAAAAGTCTGTGTCTGTTAAATAAACTGCAGACTTTGTGGCTAAACTAGGCTAAGATACTGTCTCATGATATAGACCTACATATGAATGGCTCCTTTTTAAATGGCAACAGTTTGAGAACTCCATCCATGTTTTGCTGCATGAGCAACAATAGATACAAAGAAATGATACCTAAAATGTGAAAAACAGCA